CAATGTATTCGGCTTCACAGGTAGAGAGTGCTACTACTGTCTGCTTCTTAGAATTCCAGGATATGGGTGATCCTGACAGCAAGAAAACTTGTCCCATGGTGCTCCTTCTGTCAACCAGATCACCACACCAATCAGAATCAGAATAGGCTACAAGGTGTAAGCTATCATCTCCTTTAGTGTGATGAGGAAACAAAATGCCATAACTGAGCGTTCCTCTTAGATACCTCATGATTCTTTTAGCTGCAACCAAATGTGATTGTCTAGGATCACTCATAAATCTGCTGACCAAACCAACACTAAAAGCTATTTCTGGTCTGCTGTGACAAATAAATCTCAAGCTACCAACAATTTGCCTGAACATAGTTCCATCAACAGAGCCTTCATCTTCGCTCTTATCAAGCTTCACATTCAATTCAGCTGGAGTTTCTGCTGGTTTGCACCCCAGCATCTTAAACCTCTTCAGAACTTCGGACATATACTTCCTTTGATGCATAAAGATGCCTTTCTCGGTGTAGGCAAATTCAATTCCCAGAAAATAGGACAGGATGCCTAGATCAGTCATCTCAAATTCACTCTTCAAACCTTGCTTGAGTGACTCAATAGCGGTCAAACTGCTACCAGTGATGAGTAAATCATCAACATACAAACACAATACCAATATCTCAGTTTCACTTACTGTTTTGATATACACACCATGCTCAACTGAGCATTTCTGAAAGCCAAAACCAGTGAGAAAAGAGTCAATCCTTTTGTTCCACGCCCTTGGTGCTTGCTTTAAGCCATACAAGGCCTTCTTCAATCTCAAGACTTTCAGTTCTTTACCTTTACATATAAAACCAGGAGGTTGTGTCACAAAAACTTCTTCATCAAGTGGCCCATTTAAAAATGCTGACTTAACATCTAGCTGCCACAGCTTCCAGTTCCTCCAACTAGCCAAAGCAACAATCAGCCTCACAGTCTCCAATCTAGCTACAGGAGCAAACACCTCTGAGTAATCTATCCCTTCCTTCTGCATGAAGCCTTTTGCCACCAGCCTAGCCTTGTGTTTGGCAATTGACCCATCAGATTTGAATTTAGTTTTGAAAACCCATTTAACAGCAATAGCCTTTTTATTCTGAGGTAAATTCACCATTTCCCAGGTATCATTTTTCTCAATGCTCTTCAATTCTTCCTCCATTGCTGATCTCCACACTTCCTTAGAGATAGCTTCCTCAAACGTAATGGGTTCCATGTCTGTCAAAAGTGCCATATGCTGAACCAAATCACCTTCCTCAGTAATTGCACTATCATGATAAATCTGATAATCACTGAGTCTTAATGGAAAACTCCTGACTCTTGTAGGTCTGTCAGCCACCATTTGAAGTTCACTGTTGACCACTTCTTGATGTGTCTCTCCAACTAGATCCTCATCTTTCCATTCAAACTGAAACTTTGGTATTATATCAGAAGTAGACTGAAACTCTGCCCATGAACTTGATTCATCAAAGTAGACATCTCTACTAAATAGGACTTGCTGATTCTTGGGATTGAATAGCTTGTATGAACCAGTAGAGTTGTATCCAACAAAAATCATTGCCTCACTCTTGTCATCCAACTTCTTTCTCCTTTGATCAGGAACATGTCTGTAGCATAGAGATCCAAAAATTCTGAGATGCTTAACTGAAGGTTTGCTTCCCGACCAGGCTTCTTCTGGAACCATGGAGCCAAGCCTTTTGGTTGGACACCTATTCAGAACATACACAGCTGTCATGGCTGCTTCACCCCAAAAACTATGAGGAAGATTCTTCTCTTTAAGCATACTTCTGACCATGTTCAAGATTGTTCTGTTCCTTCTTTCTGCAATGCCATTATGCTGGGGAGTGTAAGGAGCAGTTACTTCATGAACTATACCATGCTCCTTGCAGAAACCTTCAAATTCTCCAGATGTGAATTCTCCTCCACCATCTGTCCTCAGAATTTTAATGCATTTTCCAGATTGCTTCTCCACCAAAGCCTTGAAATCTTTAAAGATGCTGAACACATCACTCTTGGCTTTGATTAGGTAGAGCCATGCCTTCCTGCTCAGGTCATCAACAAAAGAAACAAAATATCTATTTCCACCTAATGATGGAGTGTCAATCGGTCCACAAACATCTGAGTAAACAACATGCAGTACTTCATTAGCCTTAGAAGCTGTAAAATTGCTGAAAGAATTCCTGGGTTGTTTGCTGATCAAACAGTTATCACATATTTTCTTGGGAATTTTAATTGAAGGAAGACCAGTTAACATTTCCTTGGATTTCAAGAGACTCAAATCTCTAAAATTTAAGTGGCCTAGTCTACGGTGCCATAACCATGAATCATCTGACAACATAGCAGCGGAAAGACATTGTGATTCAATGGTGTTTAGGCTTACCTTGAAGGTTCTGTTCTTGGCCAATGGAGCTTTCATCACCAATCTCTTTGTTTTGTCATAGATTTCTAGAAAGCCTTTAACTGAGTTTACTGAGCATCCTTTCTCCAGAAGTTGACCCAGACTGATCAGATTCGTGGTCATTCCAGGAACATACAGTACTTCTGTAATCACTGTTTGTCTTCCATCTTCTCTTTTGACTAATACATTTCCAGAACCTTCAACCTGAGTGGCTCTATTGTCTGCAAATTTTACAGTACTCTTTTTCTTTGGATCGAAATTGACAAACCAATCTCGATGCCCGGTCATATGATTGGAACATCCAGAATCTATGTACCATTCTTCATTGTTATAAGATTCTGGATTGGTGATCATCATCAACATCAACGGTTGTTCTTCAAGATTCGCTTCATTATCTTCTTTGGCCATGTGTGCTTGATAATCACCATGTGATTGACTCCCCCGTTGATCTGTGCGACCTGGTGCAGCTTCACATTCTGCCGAAAAATGTCCAATTCGATTACAATTAAAGCATTTAATTCTTTTCCTATCGATTACCTTTTTCTTTCCTCCTCGCCAATTACTGAAACTCCCTCTTCTATTTGAGTTTTCTGGTTGATCTTGTTCAATCTTTCCTTGGTCTTGACTTTGATTATTTTTTTCAAAGCCACCTCTGAATCCTCTCCCACGGCCTCGTCCTCTGAAGTTTCCTTTGGAGTTGTAACGTCCTTTCTTTGAGGTTTGAGCTTGCAGTGCTTGATGATCATCAGACTTCACTGAACCTCTTTCAATGAGTCTCTGCTCATGTGCCTCAAGAGAACCTTGAAGTTCCTCTACCTTCAATTCCTCGAGCTTCTTTGATTCTTCAATGGCCACAACAATGTGGTCAAATTTGGGATCGAGTGTTCTCAGAATCTTTTCTACGATTGTTTGATCTGTGATTTTCTCTCCACAGTTCTTCATAGCATTCGTGTGGGTGATGATTCTGTTGAAGAACTCAGCTATCTTTTCATTATTCTCCATTTGCATCAATTCGTATTGACGCCTCATCGTCTGCAATCTCACCTTCTTCAATTGCTCTGCTCCTTCACTGCATTTCTCCAGAATCTTCCACGCTTCTTGCGAAGTTGCAGCACCTGCAATCTTCTCAAAGTGTGCCTCATCAACACATTGATGAATCAAGAAGGTTGCTTTACAATCTTTCTTTTTATTTTCTCTGTAAAGCGCCTTCTGTGCATCTGTCGAGTCTTTGGTGAGCGTTGGATAGCCTTCTTCGACGATTTCTGCAACCTCTTGATAACCCAGAATCGCCTTCATCTGCACACGCCACCGATCCCAGTTCTTTCCATTGAGAACGGGAAGGTTTGCCGGAAAATTCGTACCAGTTGAACCCATCGTGTCTCAAAAAATCCCTTAATCGGAACCTATGCTCTGGATACCAGTTTGTTAGAGCAAAGCCACACCCACACGTGAAAGAGAGAGTATCAGAGGAAAACGTAAAGTGGGAGAAAAAGGAATTCTTATTCTGTATATTATATTTCAGTAAAAGGGTGGTATTTATAATGTTTTAATCACTTCTAACAGAGACGAGGGACCGTATGAATATGGAGTTACAATTACTGTACAAATTAAGGTGTTTATTGCTGCTACTTTTTCGATATATAAATGGAAGGTGTCTGGATGTTCTAGTCACAGGATATTTTAACAACAGAAACTAGGATAAAGCTACTAAACTAGACATTTTCTTATGCGTAGTACTCAATATCTCAGCTTCAAGGGCGGAATCGGTGGAATTAACAGGTTTGCAGATATGAAGCCTGTAATGGTTTGCTTCCTTTTTAATAGTAAAACAAAAATGTTAGTTTTGATTTTTGATCATTAAAATATTAGTTTTGATACCAAAACTAACTCTGAAAAATCAACTTGATAGAGTATTAATTAATTAAAGACATTACAATGAATTAGATTGAAGAATGGGTAAATAGTAAAGATAAAGTCGTGAAAAAATTAGATAATAAATTTACGACAGGAAGACTCAACGTTAAGATAAAATATTCAATTTTTGAAGTTTATGATACTCCATTCACTCATTTGTATTGATTTGTATTCCTATCATATTGGTATCATTTTACATTCAATTATCCTGATACAAACAACAGCGATGGCGCCGCCGGAGGTAAGGACTAAGGAGATGTACAACATACGACGTTCGTGGTGTACGAGGATATCCATGAAACGAAGACCGCCGTGGACCACCATCCAGGTTCAACGTCTTCTTTAACTAATTAGAGATTAATTAATTATTAAGCTAAGCAATGAAGCATGTTATGTTAAAGACAAACCACACACCTGTGGCCTTTGGGAGTGCCTATTTCCACTCTTATTTAATTAATATACTTTCCTATATTATTATTAGTTTGATTAACAAAGAAGGATATTTTTAATATAAAATATTTAAATAGGAGTGACAGATAATAGATACATGGAAATGGAAGTGGCATTAGACAATAGACAGACACCATCGCTCCAAAGATAGATCAGAAGATTTGTAAGTCATCAAACCATGCTAAAGAAGCTAAACCAAACCTCCACCGAAGAAGATCATGCAAGTGTCAAATCTTTTAGGTTTCTTTAAAAGCCTTTATAAATATATATTATTAGTGAGTGTATGTAAACTAAAGAAAGAAACGGCAACAATACTAAAACTAACAAAGCCAAAAGCAGAAAGAAAAATTCATGTCAAAATGATGAGCTCAACTGTCCTCAATTCAAGGACCTTTTCTTTCGGCCGGGAAAAAGAAAGGCCTACTGAAACCGGGAAATGTGCTATTTACTTACATGGAAATGAAAACTCAATACAACCCCAAAAATTTCCACCAGACAGAGCCGACACCTCCCCAGATGATAGCATTAACAACAGCCATGATGAACCCAAATTTGAAGATATCCGGTAGGTCTACATAACCAGCTGTTGAAACACAAGAACCGAAATCATATCAGCCACCATGCTAAGCTTGAACATAACTTCAATTCATAAGAAAAAGGGGGGAAGGATAGAGATTAGGGTTGCCTAAACAGAAATAATCCTTTTGGTCACAAAGTGCAACTAGAATCAGCACAACAAGAATTAAAACAGCAGTAAGACAGAAATGAAGTGTTAGAACCAAATACAATTGATATGTATGTAGTTTAAGAGCAAACACATGCAAATAATAATATAGCTGGAAAGGAAAATAAAGAACACAGAAATTAGATGACATAAATCAAAGAGAGGGACAAACCTCCATAGTATACAGCAGCCTGGCCGCTACTATAGTGTGTTATTGCACCAAAAAGATTTGTATTATAACCTAAAGCAAGCGCTGCCAGAATACCAGGAACACCGGCTGCCCTATGCATGGCAAGAAATGCAGAGTATAAGGCCCCCACATGACCAGTCTGACTTGCAAAAAGGTAGTGGATGAAGAAATAAGCTCCTTGAAGAACAGCTAGTGAGGCCGGCCAGCTCAAAGAGAATGATCGGAGGTTGTGGGCCACACAATCAGACATCCAGTTCACAATACCAAGGTTTGTCAACTGGCTTGCCATACCTACCAGAATGGCAAACCAAGCTAAGGTATCCCATGCCGCTTTTTCATTCAAACAGTCATCCCAGTCGAGGACTCCTAATACGAGGAGTATTGATAAACCAATCATTGCAGCTACAGCACTTGCTATGCCAATAGTGTCTCTGCAGGACCAAAGAAACATGGATAGTACATAACTCAACCAAGAGAAATTGTAAGAAAAACAACAATGTACACTGCTACACAGGTACAACTAGTGGACTCTTTCATAAAGCTTGTTTGGTTACAAGCTTAAAAGAGTTTTTGAGAACTTTTCTACTGAAAATAAAAAGTTTTTTCCAAAAAAAAAACTCTATTATGTTTATATTCAAATAGGCTCATAGATAGTTTCAACTGAAGGTGTTGTGACTTGCAAAAGCAATTAAGCATAGATTGGGTCTGTTGGAACTTGACAGACATCAAACTAAACGCAGTATTACTAATCATATATTATTATCATAAGTTCATATGCATATGAAAGAATTCCAACAATAGCATGTACAAAAAGGCAGAGAGCATAAACTAGGTGGCCAAAACATTGATAAAATTAGAAAATATTAATTAAATCCTTCAAAAATCTATATTTTTAGCATCTCCACAAGGACCAAGTTCTCCACCTTAAAAACTCGACAAACATGGAAATCAGTCAAAAAAACATTCATCCATAGACATAGGTGTAAATACAATAGAAGGAATATGACATACCCAAAGATCCACAAAGACACTGCTAGAAGCATTGTACCAACCATAATCCATTCATTTTGAGTGATAGGGCCCATACTCTCGAGTTTCTTGGCAGCGAGGGCAGGAGCCTCGGGCGTGTCTTTGATTTCAGGGGGATAGAGCTTGTATAAAATCAATGGTGTAAGAAGAAGACAAACAAGCGCAGGTAAACTAGCTGCTTTGAACCAAGTAACCCAAGGGTTTGACACTACGACCCCAAGCTCCTCTGCTAATTTGACACAGAGCAGATTTTGAGCTGCAGCAGTTAGGAAAAGAGCACTAGAGTTACCAGCAGACTGTCCAAGGTCAGAAACAAAGTCACTTTGTTATGACATGAAAGACAGAACAGAAGACATGAAAATGAGGGACAGATGAAAATGTTATGCAAAATGAAACCTGAAATTGGTTCTGAATGAGGAAAGCCCCAAGCCTCTTAGAGGTAGGACTGGAGGGTTGACTGCCAGCAGAGAGCGAGAGAGACTTGATAATGGGCAAGAACACCCCACCGGCCCTGGCAGTGGTGCTGGGCATGGCGGGTGCAATCAGCACTTCGCTGAAGGTGAGCCCATAAGAGAGGCCCAGAGTGCTCTTTCCCATCCACTTGACGAAGTAAGTGGCAATCCTATCGCCAAGGCCCGTCTTCACAAAGCCTCGAGCAAAGAAGAAGGAAATGACGATCAACCAAATCACCTCGTTCGTGAAGGCGCTGAAGGCCGCCGAGAAAGACAGAGTTTTCGTCACAACAGAGGCCGTCAGGCCCAGGAAGGCCCAGGCCCCAACGGGAAGCGGGCTCAGAACGAGGCCCGCGATGGTGGACAGGAAAATGGACAGAAGCTGCCAGGCCTCGGGGGTGACTTCGAGGGGTTTGGGGACCACGAAGCGGACGATGAGGCCTATGCATAGTGAGATCACCAGAGGGATTGGCTTCGCGCCCTGGAGTGGCGGTGGTGGCGGCGTGGATTTGGAGGCTTGAATTGGGTCATGGGGGTGGAATCTGAAGGGGGAGGGGTTGGAGGGGAAGGAGCTGACGGTGGGTGATCGGAGAGATGGGGTGTGGATGAATTGGGATCTCGGGCGGTGGTGGAGTTGGGAGAAGCGAGAGAAGGAGGTTGCGGTTGAGGCTGAGAGAGAGCAATGGAGTGCGAGGCAGAGGCTCTCCATAGTGTGAGGCTGATGCTTGCTTGTTTGCTTTCTCTCTCACTTATGAGATTTTAGTTCGGTATTTACAAAGCTCAAAGCCGGGTGAGAGAGGGACCAATCACTTGGATATGAGGTCGGAAATCGTAGTATCTTTTTTTTCCTTTGTTTTTTGGTAAAAGTTGGTTATGCTTCTCATTTCTCAATCTCCTCTTTTTTGGCTTCCTCTTCTGCTTTCTTTTCTTTTATAATATTATTCTATCCTATTCCTGCTGCCACTTTGTATTTCTCCTCCTCACCTGCTATTATATTTTACACACTCCTTTTGGATCACTTTCTTATATTTTTTGCCCATCCTTTTACCACCCTCAAAATGGGCAAACACTCAATTATGTGCATAATGCATATGTTGTTCTCAATAGGTAGAGCTGACAACAACCAATTGCCCATCTTTCTGGCCAGCCTGAACTATAAAAAAAAAAAAAAAAAAAAAAAAAAAAAAAAAAAGGTCAATTAAGCCCCCCTTGAGGGCCATGTAAGTCAAATCGGGTTACTAAATTTTTTGCCTCAAACTTATTGATTTATTAGACTAACAGCCGAATAGCCTGCTAACAGAATAAGTGACTAGTAAAACTTTTTGCTTAGGTTAGTTCACATACATGCATGTAGTGATCCATGCAGGCGACTCAAACAATTTGTTATCTTTAGAATTAGATTAGTTTATACATTAATTTGAATCAATGTATAAAATAATTTTATGATTATCCGTCAATTTAAATTAATGAAATGAAGTATCAAATGATTTTCAAATTTTCTAAAAATTTACAGATTTGATCTATGCATTAAAAATTTTAAATTGAACGGTTAGATCGTTGAAATTTAATGTAAAATATGAGTTATTGAACGGAATAAATTTAGGTAGACTTATTCTTAGAGTAAAAGGATCCCTTCTCATATATATATATATATACACACAGATAGTAATCCAATATTGAAAATGTGAACATAAGTTATCGATCAAACAACAATTACAAAAAAACTACTACATGGGGGTAGTACAAAACAACATTGTCATCTAGCATGGCTCCTAACTCAAACTCCTCCTCCAACTTATTTGTATCTTATTCCCATACCAGATATAATCATCGCAGTCCAACCATAAGAAAAATGTAAGGGTCAACTTGAAATCAAATAAAACAACATAACATAACAACAACATATATGTTAACTATAAAACAACTTCAACAACCTAAGCTCAAATAAACAACACATAATAATACATCAACATATTATACAACTTAACAACATAGAATTTACCAACTCAGTAACACAACTTCACAACTTATCAACAATTTTACCACTTAACACAAATTTCAATAACACCACAACACGACGACATAGCAACATAATGCTTTCAACTAAATAATAGGTTAACTCAAACAAAATTGCAACAAGTACTGAGGTAATAACTTAAGCAAGCACATACAACTTAAAACCAACAGGTTAGCTCAAAACATAACATCAACTTCATTCATCATTCACAACTTACAATCGCTAGTACAACATGCATCATGTACTGCATTCTCAACTACATACTCAACATACACAACTTTAATTGCTGACTAAACAACATTCTATAACAAATGTGTCATGACACATATCAATTACGAATATCTCCTACAGATTAGATGAACAACCTAAGTGACTTGACTTCACTAAACCAACAAGCATGTGATCTTTTCAATACAAATAGATCAATAGCCAAGGATCTTTTCTATACAGTTAGATCAACAACCAATGTGGATAAAATCTACAACAACATTCAACTATTAACAATTTAATTATCAATATACATTATCCCACATCATAATACCACCACATATATAAATCACCCACATCTCATATGCATTACAACATTTCAATAGAAACAACACAAAATATCAACTTTTGAAGCAAAGGTCTCACTAAAAGAGCCTTACCATAAGAAATTCAACTACTTTACAACAATGATCTTCATGAAAATCACCATATAAGGAGTTTTATTAATCGCGACAAGCTTATGAAGACCTTAAATTATACTCCATCACCTACTATACTGAAAATTATAAAAAAGAAATCACAACATTTTTTACTAATGCTAACAACTCGACCTTTTCTCATTAAAAGGTTATAACTTGAGTTATAGACCTTTTTTTTAAGCGATTTCAAAACAATTGGAAAGGTAACAATTAAAACAACAACTTTCATGAAGATCACAAAGCTTAATTCGGTCATTTACTATTCATTGAGCAAACATTTTTCAATGAGCGAGTTGAGCTCTCTAAAACTCTTCACTGAGTGACCAAAACTGACCGTTGAGCGAAAATATAAAGACTAAGTTGATGTTTTTCATTTGTTTATGAACAATGAGCTATCATACACTTTTCGTTGAGCGAGAATGCAATGTTCCTCCATGAAAATCACTTTCTCTCAACAAAATCTAGTGACCCACATCAAATACAACACATGCAATCCATGATTTTTCTTCTTCATACCCCATACAACTCATAACACCTCAAAAACATCACATGCAACCACTACAAAACTCAAGATCATCAAACCATCTTCAACTTTTAAAGACCCTAAAACCCTACAACATGAACTTCATGCATTCTCAACATAGATGCTACCAATGGGTCAAACAACACTAAAATCAACACATGCAACACGAATAAAGCAATCTACAAGCTTTTCTTGCCTCTAATTGCTCGAAAACAAAAATAGGAAAAAGGAATGGCGAAGAACGAAGCTCCTTGAGTCTGTTGTACGATAACCTTGACTTTGGATTCTTAGTTTCCTAACCTTGAATCTTCAATCCAACACCACTACTTGTCTAAAGGAATGATCTATAATGCTCTCGCATAATTAGAAGAAGAATGGAATCTCTTTGACTCCAAAGTCTATTTCTTTCTAAAATTCTAGAATTATAAACTTATGAAATTTATTTATTGAAATCTATCTTATATACCTCAATCTTTTTTCAAATCAACTCTTATACACTTAAGTTATATCCTTTATAAATTAAATATAAAATTATCACATCTCTAACTTGTATCCTACAAAGGCTAATAGTAATCAAACAAAGTAAAATATCATTCTTTTATATATATATATATATATATATATCATAAATATATAATTTATAAAAATCATGGTATTACACACGATGTTTGTTAAGTGGGCTTAGCCCCACGTAAACAAACAAATCAAAGACACTAGTCCAATGTTGTTAAGGCCAACTATCAAGCACCTTACTACAACCCAATATTTTAATTAGGGGTGTGCAAAAAATCCAAATTGATCCGAACCGATCTATAACCGATCCGATCCATATTGAAAAATTTGATCCATTTTGGAAAAAAATCCGAACCGAACCACTTTATAAAACCGGTTCAGTTATCTGATCCATTTTTACAAAGTGGATCGGTTCGGTTCGGTTTAATTTTTTAAAAAAATCGATCCATATATGAGTAAAAAGTGGATAACTGCATCGCACCGAATCGATCCAATTTCAAAAAAATCGATCCATATTTTAAAAAAACCAAACCAATCTACTTTGTATAAAATGGATCGGTTAACCGATCCACTTTTATAAAACAGTTCGGTTCGCTTTGGATCGGTTTTTTGAAAAAACCGATTCATGAATACCCCTAATTTTAATGACTTAAGACCTTTTTTCTTATACATACAGTTCATGCTGACAAGACACATAGATCATAAATACAAATCGTCACGGAGGTAGTTTGTACTTTGTACAATAATTTTTATTGAGTTAATTACCTATATATTGTCATGGTAAAGCTTTTTTATACTGACAATCAATTATATTCTTTAATTGTGTTATATTATTGTAAACACAATTACTTTTAACAGTGACATGACACAATTAACAATCTGTCCTCAGAATTTTAATGCATTTTCCAGATTGCTTCTCCACCAAAGCCTTGAAATCTTTAAAGATGCTGAACACATCACTCTTGGCTTTGATTAGGTAGAGCCATGCCTTCCTGCTCAGGTCATCAACAAAAGAAACAAAATATCTATTTCCACCTAATGATGGAGTGTCAATCGGTCCACAAACATCTGAGTAAACAACATGCAGTACTTCATTAGCCTTAGAAGCTGTAAAATTGCTGAAAGAGTTCCTGGGTTGTTTGCTGATCAAACAGTTATCACATATTTTCTTGGGAATTTTAATTGAAGGAAGACCAGTTAACATTTCCTTGGATTTCAAGAGACTCAAATCTCTAAAATTTAAGTGGCCTAGTCTACGGTGCCATAACCATGAATCATCTGACAACATAGCAGCGGAAAGACATTGTGATTCAATGGTGTTTAGGCTTACCTTGAAGGTTCTGTTCTTGGCCAATGGAGCTTTCATCACCAATCTCTTTGTTTTGTCATAGATTTCTAGAAAGCCTTTAACTGAGTTTACTGAGCATCCTTTCTCCAGAAGTTGACCCAGACTGATCAGATTCGTGGTCATTCCAGGAACATACAGTACTTCTGTAATCACTGTTTGTCTTCCATCTTCTCTTTTGACTAATACATTTCCAGAACCTTCAACCTGAGTGGCTCTATTGTCTGCAAATTTTACAGTACTCTTTTTCTTTGGATCGAAATTGACAAACCAATCTCGATGCCCGGTCATATGATTGGAACATCCAGAATCTATGTACCATTCTTCATTGTTATAAGATTCTGGATTGGTGATCATCATCAACATCAACGGTTGTTCTTCAAGATTCGCTTCATTATCTTCTTTGGCCATGTGTGCTTGATAATCACCATGTGATTGACTCCCCCGTTGATCTGTGCGACCTGGTGCAGCTTCACATTCTGCCGAAAAATGTCCAATTCGATTACAATTAAAGCATTTAATTCTTTTCCTATCGATTACCTTTTTCTTTCCTCCTCGCCAATTACTGAAACTCCCTCTTCTATTTGAGTTTTCTGGTTGATCTTGTTCAATCTTTCCTTGGTCTTGACTTTGATTATTTTTTTCAAAGCCACCTCTGAATCCTCTCCCACGGCCTCGTCCTCTGAAGTTTCCTTTGGAGTTGTAACGTCCTTTCTTTGAGGTTTGAGCTTGCAGTGCTTGATGATCATCAGACTTCACTGAACCTCTTTCAATGAGTCTCTGCTCATGTGCCTCAAGAGAACCTTGAAGTTCCTCTACCTTCAATTCCTCGAGCTTCTTTGATTCTTCAATGGCCACAACAATGTGGTCAAATTTGGGATCGAGTGTTCTCAGAATCTTTTCTACGATTGTTTGATCTGTGATTTTCTCTCCACAGTTCTTCATAGCATTCGTGTGGGTGATGATTCTGTTGAAGAACTCAGCTATCTTTTCATTATTCTCCATTTGCATCAATTCGTATTGACGCCTCATCGTCTGCAACCTTTAACTGAGTTTACTGAGCATCCTTTCTCCAGAAGTTGACCCAGACTGATCAGATTCGTGGTCATTCCAGGAACATACAGTACTTCTGTAATCACTGTTTGTCTTCCATCTTCTCTTTTGACTAATACATTTCCAGAACCTTCAACCTGAGTGGCTCTATTGTCTGCAAATTTTACAGTACTCTTTTTCTTTGGATCGAAATTGACAAACCAATCTCGATGCCCGGTCATATGATTGGAACATCCAGAATCTATGTACCATTCTTCATTGTTATAAGATTCTGGATTGTTTTACACTGACAATATATAAATTATTAACTCATTTTTATTATCGAAAAATAAATTTGTTAACGGAATGCATGTTTAATGTATAAAATTAGTGTTTGATTTATATATAACCAATTATATGTATTTATTTATTTAAAATAAATAATTAAAAATAATATAAAAACAAATAACATAATAATTATAATAAAAATAGTATTAAGAAAATAATTGTCCAGATTCAAAGGTTTTGCAGGGAAACTATTTGACAGCGTTGAAGAGTAATAGTGACGGGTCAAAGTTATAGCACATATCGGAATCGCATAAATAACCGCCGTCTTTATTCAACGGATAGAGACCGAATCAATTCGAGACTCTATTTTAATTTAATTCTACTATTTTATTATTTGGCTTGTTGCAGACTATTTTCTCCCTTCCCAACGTAAGCGCTTAAACCTTATAATGTATTAAAATGAAAAATTTAAATAGGATAATTTATTTATTTGAAAAATTTTAAATTTTTTGAAGTGAAATACTTTGTTTAGATGAAGAATTTATAAAGAATTTAAAATTTAAGTAATTGTAAAATTTTTTGAGATAGTAGAATTTCAAATTCTTTTAAAGAAGTAAGGATTTAAAATTTCTCATCTTTTTTCTCTTCTTATTTCACTTATATATTTTATCTTATATCTTATTTCTTCATGTTTATAATTATTAAATATTCAAAAATAATTTTAAAATTATTAAATATTATCTAATATTAATTTTTAAAATTATTAAATATTTAAAAATTAACAAATATTTATTTTTTTATAAAATTTAATTTAAAAATCTAAACATATAAATATATTTTTAAAATTAATTTTATCATGATAGAATCAAATTATTATATTCAACCAAATAACTTAAAATTTAAAAAATTTCAAATTGACTTATTCAAACAAAATATTTTAAGAATAGTACAGACTAAAATCAAAGTAATTAAAATACCAAAAATTTAAAATTTCTTAGATTTGTAAAATTCTTCATCCAAACACACTATTAACCACCTTTCACACCAAATATTTTTCTTAATTTTTTCCATTCTATATTGTTCTAATATTTTACAATTAATTCAAATAAACGAACTTTTAACTTATTAATGCAATCAAATTATGTTTTTTTTATTTCATTACCAAGAATCAGATTGACATTTCACGTTAAAATCTTCTTTTAGAAAAATTATTAAGAAATGCGACTTAGTAAAAGTGAAGCATACAAGTTTAGTTCAAATTATCGTTGAAGTAGATAAATATCTTATAATATTGACGCGGTAACTAAAAAAGTCATGTTAATAATTTTCTTAATTTTTACAATAAAATTTTATTTATTTTATTATAAAAATACCACATTAATCATATATAAATTTATTCATTAACAAAAAAAATATTTAGTTTTCAAGATAGCTGTTAAGTTTATTTACAATGTTTACATTATTAAACTCAGAAAATATTTATAGAATAATTGAAATATGAAATAGTAAATAAAAACTATTTTAATTAAAAATCTCACATATTATTTCATTAAAATCAGTTTTTATTAAGTTTGTTAATTTACCATCCGGTAAAAATATTAGAAACATAATTAATTAGAAAGAGATGTACTATTCATATTATAATTAAAATAATATAATTTTTATTTTTATTGTATTATTTATTACATCACACATACTTATATTATTTCTGTCTTGGTTATACATATTTTTGTATAGTTTATCATGCAAATAAAATTTCTCTATAAAAAAAAAGTTACTTTCAACGATTGAAATTAGTCTCTCCGACCATATGTATGTTGTGTTATAAAATATAGAAGAGAGTAAGGGCATTAAAAAAAGAGAAGGCAGGAAGGAGGCATGAGGGTGTGTTGAATGTTGATGTTCAGAGAATGAGAGTCAGCTTCGTCGTGCTTGTAGTTGTTGCAGTTACATTTCTTTTTCTTCTTCAACCAATCATATCTATATATATATATATATCCTTAACTCAATCAAATTGAAAACGCATCTACTTTGACCAAACCAAACAATGGCCTCTTTCAATCTCTCTTCTTCCTCCTCGCCCGCCCTCTCATGTCTGCGGTTCGTCTCTCTTTCTTCAAACAACTCACGCCTTCATTCCTTTTTTTCGCATTTTCTTTCTTTTTCTCTTCATCTTCCATTCTAAACACTAAACCCAATACCCCTTTTTTTAAACTTTTTTTTTTCTTCTTCTTTTTCTGTTATGCACTTTCATTTCCGGGATCCATCAACAGAAACTTTCTGGCTGCACCATGTTTTCTTGATCCACCATTTGATGCAAGATCCCTCTTTTTGCGTTGAATTTCGTTATGGGGCACGTGGGTTGGGCCCTTTATAAAACCACGCTTCTCAAAGAACCTTTTTCCGGTCATGCACAATTTTGTGTCATATTTCTTTCTATGAAGTCATGCTTTTAATTTTGAGTCTAAAATATGTTAGGGATCGCTTTTGGGTCCTGCATGTTTGATTCTTATTCTTTCGCAGCCAAATTCTGTGCTTAATTGTATCAAAGATTTTATCTTTCATGTCATTCTTGTTTTAAATTTAAGCTGAAACATTTTAGCTGCATAGACCATTGAGCTGCTCATCGTTTTGGAATTCAGTTTATTGATTCCCCCTCTTTGGATGTCACTATTATTAAGTTAACCTTGGGTGTGTTCTTATATTCAATGCAGGGCAAGCAAACACTTCAAATTGTTCAATGATGTGTCCTCTGTCCGGATCAATTCTAAATTTCCCTCACGTGTCGATGTTGTCGGTGGAATTAAGGCTACATTGATCTCTGAAGGAGGTGACTTATTTTCCTATCCAAATAGCAATGAAATTGTGTTAGGTAAAAATCTGGTTGGAGGTGAATCTGTTCGAATTGAGGTGCAACCTAAAGCAACACTGGCAGCAGACACAGGGCTAACAAGCAATTTTTTCTCTGTTGACAATGATGAATTTGATTTGGACAGTCCCACAGAAGGTTTTGCTTCCATCAATGAGGCCATTGAAGACATTCGCCAGGGAAAGGTAGCTACTCTTTCTCTCAATGAAATTGTTTTTCGCCCTAATCTTTAATTAGAACATGAGAGGTGTGTGGTGTGAAGTTCTTTTGTTTAATGGTTTCAGTATCATAATAGATTATTGTTATTAATATTAATGATGCAGATGGTAGTGGTTGTGGATGATGAAGACCGAGAAAATGAAGGAGATTTGATAATGGCAGCACAATTGGCAACACCTGAGGCAATGGCTTTTATTGTAAAGCATGGAACTGGGATAATTTGTGTAAGCATGAAGGAGGAAGATCTGGATAAACTGAATCTTCCTTTGATGGTGAACAGTAAGGACAATGATGAGAAACTTCGTACGGCATTCACTGTGACTGTGGTATGTACTACTTTTCCATACATCTTTACATGTGGAGTTAGTGGAATATCTTTGTGAAGGTTTCCCGTTATTATCAAGGCACTTATATAATTGGGGGTCTCTAGGTATAGACCATTTTTGGTTAAAATCAAAGGTGATTGACTGTCCCCTACAAAGGTGCAAATCAAAATTTTATAAAGATCAAACATTTGTAAACTTTGTATTGTTATCCTACTATATAGTGGAGATTATGTTTTTTGGACTAAGTGTTGTGGTTTTTCCTTCTCACATTGAGTGTTTTCCACATTAAAATTCTACCATGTTATATCTCTTTTATTCATCTTCATTTACTGTCCATTTTAAGTCACACAACTGAGGAAAACATTTTTAGTTCCACTTTGTTATTGTCTGATGTACTCAGATAGACCTGTGTTTCCCAACAGTTTGATACATTTCAATAAATTTAATTTGTACGTGTAGGATGCTAAACATGATACCACCACCGGGGTATCAGCTCATGACAGGGCAACAACAGTCTTGGCCCTTGCATCTAGAGATTCTACTCCAGGCGATTTCAACCGGCCAGGCCATATTTTCCCACTAAAATACAGGGAAGGTGGTGTCTTGAAGAGAGCTGGGCATACAGAAGCTTCAGTTGATCTTGCTGTACTTGCTGGCTTGGATCCAGCGGCAGTTCTGTGTGAGATTGTAGATGATGATGGTTCCATGGCTAGACTGCCAAAGCTTCGCCAGTTTGCAGAGCGTGAAAATTTGAAAATTGTATCTATTGCTGACTTAATAAGGTATGTAGTTGCAATTCATGGACTTTGTAATAAAATTCATTGTATGCAGATTTTATATAGAGTTAATCACCTATACACTGTCAGTGTAACTGACAACCAATTATATCTTTTAATTGTGTCATGTCACTATTAAAAGTAATTGTGTTTATAGTGACATGGCACAATTAAAAGATATAATTGGTTACCAGTGTAAAAAAATTTTACACTGACAGTGTATAGGTGATTATCTCTTTTATATATATGTTGTCTTTTATGTTTAGATTCTTCTTTACAGATACTATAATGTATCTGTTTAAGTTGTCTTAAATATATTAAATGAATTTGATATAGTAATTTATAAGCCTGAATCCTGAATACACAATTAAACTAACTTGGATTTTGTGGTACTTTTGTCGTTTGAGGATACTACCAATCAAACATAATGTTGCTTTGTGAAGTATTTGGTGAACGTTTCACTGAATATAAATTTTTATATTATTAAGAAAATGGAAACCTTTTTTATTTTGAAAAATCTTCCATTTGTCAAGTTAAATTCTAAGTGCTTGTTTTATGCTTCTGCATTATTTTTTTCTCATGGTTTTTGCTACTTGGGTAAGTTGTTGCTTATTTTATCATGTATAGCAATTAGCAAGGAGATTAACATTTACTGTTATGACAGATACAGAAGAAAAAGAGATAAATTAGTAGATCGCTCTTCTGCTGCACGGATACCTACAATGTGGGGACCATTCACAGCTTACTGTTACAGGTCAATTTTAGACGGGATTGAGCATATTGCAATGGTTAAGGTGAGCATTGCTTGTTGTTATACATGTCACAAAACTTGTGAACATTCTCTTTATAGTGGAAATATGTAACTAACACATGCTACATCTAGAATACATGTTACAAAACTTGTGAACATTCTTAGTTTGATTGGTTGGTTCAATCGTTAACTTTGAACCATTTAATTTAATTATTTAACAGGGCGACATTGGAGATGGACAAGATGTTCTTGTGAGGGTACACTCAGAATGTCTGACAGGAGACATATTTGGATCTGCTAGATGTGACTGTGGAAATCAGCTTGCACTGGCAATGCAGCAGATTGAGGCTGCTGGTAGGGGTGTTCTGGTATATCTCCGTGGACACGAAGGAAGGGGCATTGGATTGGGCCACAAGCTTCGTGCTTACAACCTACAAGATGATGGACGGGATACCGTAGAAGCCAATGAGGAGTTGGGATTGCCTGTTGACGCCAGGGAGTATGGCATTGGCGCGCAGGTATTATATTCAAAACCAGTGGGAGTACTTGATATTGGATATTATTTGATATGTTATACTCTCAGTATTTGACTTTTCTTTCATAGATACTGATTTAGAGTAGGTTTGGATGCCAAAGTAAGAGAGTTTTTGAAAGTTTTTCTATTTTAAAATAACGAGTTTTTTTTCAGTAAAGAAACTATGATAACTCTTTTAAACTTGTATCCAGACAAACTCTTGGTATAATTGTGGGACTTAATAGTAATGTTTTTTGTATTTGAAATGGTCTCCTTTCGCTTGCAGATGTTGAGGGACTTGGGCGTTCGATCTATGAAGCTGATGACAAACAATCCAGCAAAATATGTTGGACTCAAAGGTTATGGTTTGACAGTTTCGAGTAGGATCCCATTGTTAACTCTCATCACTTCTGAGAACAAGAGATATTTAGAGACCAAACGTGTGAAAATGGGTCACATATATGGGATGGAATTTAACGGGCAATTGAGCACTCATGACAATTCTAATGGTAATTAATGAAAATGTCATTGCCAGTAAGGTTGAAGATTCTAGTGCTGTTACTGGATTTCAAACCTGCTATTTTTTTTTACTACATACACAGCAGATGAGGAAGTTGGTTTCAAAGAGTGTTTTTGTTTGAAACTAGTGTCCTATCCCGGTGGTGCCTGGGTCCTTTTTATCTTTTATTTTAAAATATAGATCAATAATATGATATAAAATAAAATTTATTTTAAAATCCAAAATACATTTTATACCTTGCACTTTGTTTGTATATAATAATTTCAACTCTTGACTTTCTTTTCGTTACAAATCAAAATATTTAAATTTGATTAGTTTTCCATTCAAGAAATTGCAGTTGTGTAGATTTAAGTCAAGTAGACTTTATTTCTGATTAATATTGTTTTTTATAATTTAATTCAAAGATCCTTAAAAATACTTTAGAAGAAAAAATAAAGCGGAAAAATATGGGTGGGTAGATGAGTCATTTCTTACTATGATAATATTGAGATAAAATTACAAAATTCTTTCTTGAATATATATATATATATATATAAACATGCATGATCAAGAGCACGTTCAGAATTCACCACATACTAACATCATACAACTAGCTCATAAATTGAAGAAAATGTAACATGCAACAATCATGTATTACAAGATTATCAATTCTTTCATCTTTCACCAAGAATAAGAACACCCAAAATTATACTATTTAGTTCCAACTTAAATGCTTACCAAAGCATGAATCAACATATACAACATAAAAGATCGAACAACAAGCTTCCCTTACTTTAAATTGCTTAAAAATGAAAAAAAGAAGGAAAAACAACAAAAAAATAAGAGCTGTCTGAGTTTGCCATATGAAAACCTTGATCTTGATTCTTAGCTTACAAACTTTCAAGTCTTCAACCACACTAATTCTGTTACATGGAAGGATTTAGAGGCATTTACGAAGTCAAAAGAATAAACAAACTCTCTTAGCTCTAAAGTTTATCTCACTAATTTCTCTCTAGTTTTCTTGGCTAACTTAACCTCTACTAAATGCAACTCCAAAGCAATTTAACTCTCAAAGATTCATTGATTCCTAGAATTCTTAAATAACAATAAATATAACATAATAATAATTAAACAGCATGTAACATAATTTAAATAATAAAACATTTAAAACATATAGTATTATAAAAAGTAAAAGAAATTTATTTTTGGTTGTATAAGTAGAAATAGATTGGTATAAAAAAAATACATAGATACTACTATACCAATAATAATAAATAAATAATATTATCATCAAATAATTTAATTTTTTTTAATATTTTTAATTACATATGACAAGTTATATTTAGTAGTTAATATTCTATAGTGTATTGTTATTAATTTTTGCAGGAAAAATCATTAATAAATAGTATTGTTTTTAATTTTTGTTAAATTAATTTTATTAAAATATATTAATGCTTCTAATTTATAGGAATGCATCTACAATAAAATAGTAGAGCTTTTAACACAGGGATATTCTCCTATTCAAATCATTAAATTTACAATGAAAAAGCATGTAAGTTTTCCCCTCAAAAAAAAAAAAGCATGTAAGTTTAAGTATGTGGATACTGTTTCGTTAGCAAACGTCTCACCAATATAGATTAATTTTTTATTGTTATCTTTAAAAAATTGCATGAATTATATTAATAGACAAAAAAAAATGTGGATATACAAAACTTTTTTAATTGGCCTTTGAAATGAAAAATATTAGCTTTAAAATATGGTTTAATTAATTTTGACACAATATTAGTCTAAGCAATTTTAAACTGTTTAGTAATAGAAATCATCCTAAATATAATTTTTAAATAATTTTTAAGTTAATAAAATTTTAATTATATCTCAATAGACCATATCTATAGATAAAAAAATAGTATCTAATTAAAATTTAAATAAATAAATAATATTTTTTATCAGTAAATAAATTATAATAATACATATTAGTATTGAGATATCAAATATAAAAAAATCTGAGCATTAAGTACATCAGCAGAACACCAAATTGAATTTCTTAGTACGTTGATTTTTTATATTCAGTTACAAATAAATACAAATTTATTATAAATTCGAACCTATTTGTTTTTTTATAAATAAAAATGATTATAATGGTATCCATAAGATTCAAACCTATCACATTGTGCATGTTATCTCCTTTTTTATTCGTTTGATCTTTCCTATGTGTGTGTTTAGAACAATTAATTTCATTTTAAAAGAAAAATAGTAAAATAATTAATTTTCTTTCAAAAAACTTAAATAATCAGTAAAATTTTGTAAATATGTTGTTTAACTTTTAGAAAATTTATTTAGAGAACTGAAACAAACGAGTATTTTGTGAGTCTGCTAGCTGTTCGTAAGCTGTGAATTGAAATGACGAAGCATGGAATTTTATTTATTTATTTAATAAATGCGGCAATAAAATTTTAATAATAAGCCAGACTGTAATGTGTATATATTAATTAATAATTAATTTGCCTAAATTAGAGGGATTAACGCGCTTATAATTTATTGGGCCTGTCATCTGTGCCAATACAAAGTGAGTAGGTGAACAATTCGGAATTTGTTATTCCTTGATGGTTCCGTGCAACGGCTAGTTCTTTCAGAACAATACGACACGACGTTTAATTAGTCAATTAGTCAAATATTAGTTTCCGTTTTCGACCGTTGTCATGATGATTCCCATATCCAACGGTAACATAGATTTTGATCAACACGCGTACGTTCCAGCTGTGCGAGGTAACCGCGTCAGATTCACTTTACCCTTTCAACATGGAAACCACTCGGCCCAGGCCCATTATCCGACCGCGTCTTCCCTCTTCACGCGGTTACCCTCTCAACTCTATAAATACCCTTTTTCACTCTCCAACAACATAACCAAACACAAAACCTATTCTTATTATCTCAGAAATCTAGATCAAACAAACACTCTCTTTGCTTTTTCGCTATCAACTTTCCTCACTCCTTCAAGAATGGCTCGCACCTTTGTTCTTATGTTGGTTGCGGCATTGCTATTGAGCTCCACCATGGCTCAATCTCCAGCTTCGTCTCCTGCGTTGTCGCCGGTGGCTACTCCGCCGAGGAGGGCATTGTCTCCGACTCCCTCCGCCGTGTCTCCACCTCCCACCGCCGTGTCGCCGTCATCTGAGTCACCAGCGGTTTCACCTACCACCGGAGCCTCTCCTCCATCTCCACCAACCACTCCTTCTGAGGCCCCAAGTGGTGATGTTCCCAGCGTCACTCCTTCTTCCATCTCTGGTCCTCCAGCTGGAGCACCAGAACCAGCTTCCAACGGTGCCGTTTTGAACAGAGTTACCGGATCCGCCATGGTCCTCGTCATCGCTGCGGCCATGCTCTTCTAGATCCGACTCTATTCAGTTATCTTTATTTTTTCATAAATACCGAGTCATGAACTACATTATTTATTTTTTGGGGTTGTTCTAGGGTCATTGAGGATTCATTGATTTCATTATTTTGTATATTTTATTTATATTCTTATTCTTATTATTGAAGCAGTTATACACTTTACATATTCTTGTTTCAATCACCAATTATTACATATTTTAATTTTTCCATCGTTCAATTTAATCCAAAATGATAAAAAAAATTAATTAAAATAATTCATCCATTCTCATATAGAAACGTTTGGTTATTCGAGGAATTTAATTGTAATTGATTTAAACAATTTCAAATAAGGAAATTAAGTAAAACTGTTATTCTAATTGAATAATATAATTTTACAAAACAATTTATTTTATTTTTAAAAATTTAAGTTACAGCTTTCATTACAGATTATTTTTGTAACACAATAGTGTGTTGGGCTTTGGAATGAGACGATGATTTGGGAAGTGGATTTGGGTTATTCGTTTGGTCTGGCAGACTTTAGAGTTGAATAAAGTGAACCGTTAGTAAAGAGATGCGAAATGACCAGAGCAGGAAAAAAAAAGTAATACCATTTCTCAGTCAAAAGATTCCAACAGACTATTTTTGCACTTTTGATTCGCTGGCTGGCTGACGGCCTAACTTTAACGTACATATATATGGACATGTCACTTCACATTAAGGAGACCCCCAAAAAGTAAATTAGATATAAATTAATTGAATTTACGTGTGATATTATAATATTGATTTTAATATTATATATACTATTTTTTTAAATAAAAAAATTTCATTTTAATTTTTATATATACTATTTTTGTTATTTAGTTTTATTATATATTTTTAAGAACTAGAAAACGAAATTTATGTAATTATAGAAATTAAAAAATAAAATTTATACAATTATAAAGATTAAAAGAGAAATTTATGTAATTATAAGAATTAAAATAAGTTTTTTTAATTATTATAAGAACTAAAAAGTAGAATTTTAAAATTATTGAGATAAAAATGTAATTAATTTTCTAATATTTATCTATTTAGAAGAAGAAAAGGTTCATATTTGATGTTTATGTTTATAATCATTTTTAGGTTTAAATATGTTTAAATTACCTCGAATTAGGTCGATTTTCAGATTATTATTATTTTTTTTTAAATTGTTTAAATTACCTGATTAATATTTTTTTTTCAAATTAATAGTTTCCTCTATTAAATGATCACATGGCAAACGGACTATCACGTCATCGCTTGTATGCATGTCAACACACAATAGCCACCTCATTCTCCACGTTTGAGACTTAATAAGAAACTGAAAGAGAAGTCTAAGAACAAATTGAAAAAACCCTAAAAGAAGAAGAACTCTCTCGTGGGTGAAGGGTTAAGAAACTGAAAGAGGGGTCTGAGTACGTTTGACTCGACCAAATTGAGGAACTTCTATATCAAATTCATCATCTAATCCAGCAGCCCTCTCTTCCTCTAAATCATCCAACCGAACATCCCTCACAGAGTTATCATCACTGTTACAGAAATTGTCCCCAACAACACCTTCATTGCCACCATCACAAACTGCAAATATTTTCACTTCCACATTGTTAGTAATTGCAAAGTTTGTCATGTCTAATGCAACATTATCACAATTAATCTCTTTGAAATCAGAATGACCAAATTTCCACCACAGCCTAACAGAATGTTCTCCATATGCCAAGTCTTCTTTTGCAATTCCCACAGCTTCAAAATAGGACCACCTATCCATATCCATATTCTTCACATGCACTGACTCGCTGCCTCCAACATAATACATCACGAGGTCTAACTCAAAACGATCCCGTGATAAAGTTTTAAATTGAAACCAAATCTTTAAGTCAAAAAAACCTTAGCAACAAAATAATTAAAGGTTATCAAATTGTAAACCCTAATAACATAACCAATCACTTACCTTCAACACAGACGGAGAATGGCAAGGGGCTTCGTCCAGAACAACTTTGACAGTGCTTTAACAATGACAACAATTACCTCTATTTATGGCTACAAAATCTCACCTCCACAAATGGTCATCGAAGAACGATGCTTCAAACTTCTAACCTAAGGAACAAACAACCACTTACAATGCGCGTTTCCAAATTGAAGGAACACAAAAACGGAGCAGCTTCACGAAAAAGGAGAATGAAAACGAAAATCAAAACGAATTACAACTTCAATATTTTTAAAATAAAAAAGGAACAATTTTCAAACATGAGGTTGAAAATGAATGAGAGTATGGGTTTCTGAGTTCGTAAATTTCCAACATATATGCGAAACTAATTTTTTAAAAAAATTTCAAATCTGACGTGACAATTTACGTGGAAAATGAGGTGGTCATTGTGTGCTGACATGGCATACAACGTTGGGCGATGACATGGCAGTCCGTTTGCCACATCATCATTTAACAGAGAAAACTAACGTCAGGTACTAATTTGAAAAAAAAAATATTAGTCAGGTAATTTAAACAACAAATAAAATTTAAAAAATAGTAATATGAAAATCGACCTAATTTGAGGTAGTTTAAACACATTTAAACCTAATATATATATATATATATAAATATATATATATATATATATATATATATATATATATATAATTTTGTTTTGATTTTATTTTTAGAATAAGTAAATTACTTCATTTTATAATTTATATTTTATATCAAAATTTTTTTTTATGAATATTTGACAAATTGAATTAATAAAATGGTGTATTGAATAATTTTTCTTTTTCTGATGTGTGTGTGTGCTGATATATTCTTTAGTTGTACTTTTTCATATTGTGGAATGTTATTTTATTTCATAAGTTCATCCTTCTTTTTCTGATGGTTGAAATTGTTATGGCTATAATTGGTATATGAGGTAGTTTAGTGTTGCAAACTAATATTGTGGTAGACTCATATCTAAATTATTCTATCTTAACATAGTATCATATTTTATAGTTTAAGTGGCAAAATTTGAGAAATCAAAGTAAATTATCTATACTAAATTCTCTTTGAGATCTAATGTTGTACTACACTTGACTTGGCTGAGATAAGTCTAATATCATGGTTTTGTAAGGTCAAATCACTTAAAATGCTTATTTTTATTATAATAGATCTCTTTAATTGACTTGTGTGCTAACACATTAGTTATTAATATAAATATGTGTGTGCGTGTGTGTGCGTGTGTGTGCGTGTGACATTGGAAGTGACCTGTTGCATACTATTCTTCCAGGTGAGGTTACCTCTTGTGTAGACTTCATTGACAATCTATAAGGTATACATGTATACATTGAAAGTGACTTGTTGCATACTATTCTTCCAGGTGAGGTTACCTCTTGTGTAGACTTCATTGACAATCTATAAGGTATACATGTATACGTTTTGAGATTATGATGTATATAGTTTATGTACAGGATATTTTGTAAGCTTTATATTCACTACATTCTACTTCATACATGTATAATTAGTTATTTTTGTATGCTAATCTATCTTGATAATTTATGTATGTTTTAATTTTTATTTGTTGCCAATATTCATAATAAGTGTAGAGATTTACTAAATCATTACATTCTTTATTCATATTTAAATTCTCTTTGATAAAGTACTTCTTTAGCAAAATTTAGACCATTGAATAATAATTTAACTCTAGTTAAAAAAGAGAAAGAATGTGATAAAGGCTAAGATTTTTGCATGAAAAAATACGTTGCTGGATAGGCATTAGAGAATTCATGGGCTCGATATTTTTTAAATTAGGTTCGGTGTTAATTATTTAAATCAATTAGTTTAACAAGTGTTCCTAGAATAAAATTTAATTTTATTAAACAATTAATAAAAAATTAATTATCTGACTTTTAATTTTGGTAATTTGTTTATTTATTTTTATATAAAGAACCAGAGAAAACATATCCTTTGATAAAAATATTTAATTAACACTTGTCATTTTTTGCACACATCCTTTTTATTTTCATATTATACCAACAACTAAATATTTCTTAAACGATTTCAAATGCATTATTTAATACACTAAAAGCAAAAAAAAAAAAATATATATATATATATATATATTTGTATTTTAAATATTTATTAATTAAATTAATCTTTAATGAGATATTTCTAGATAATTTCTTAATTATTGATCTTGTATGACATTGTATCTTACTCTAATCTAATTTTTTTAATAAAAAATAATATAAAAAAATTCAACGCGTTTTGATTTATCAAATAAGTTTTACTAATTATTTAATATTTTTGAAAATAACTATTAAGGTGACACTTAATAATAAAATCGTGCAATGTTTTCTAACGATATATGCATTTTTCCAGCTAAATAACATAGTATCAAAAGAATCAGTCATAAATTCAGCAACAAATCCTCTAAAAAAAAAGTTCAACAAAAAAACAGTCATAATACTAAGTAAATTTTAATTTCAATATATTACAAAGGTTAGAAGTCAAAAAACACATATAAAAATACAAATATGAAGAAATATATTCACTCAATTTTCTTTAATTTTTTTTTATCATGTCTGTTTTTTTTTCTTCTTGTTCTTATCTCTATCTCATTCCACCCCATTAAAAGTATATCTACCGATATATCACTAGTCCAAATAAAAATAGACTTCATCTTCTCAACCAAATTCCATATTTAAGTACCGTATAATGTGATAAAAAGAGAAACTCGCTAAAAAAAAATTTCAATTATCAAATTTTCCTGCAAAACTAAATTAATCACTTTCAAGGTTGGTGAAATAAATAAATAATGATGTTGCATCTTTATGATAAATCTAATGACATTTTCGGATGCTGGAATTATTTTATAATTAAAATGGAGATATTCCTTCCTTAAAAAAGATGGGATGAGTGGGAGAAAAACAAATAAGTTACCATTATAGAGCAGAACATAAATACAATGAACTACAACAAATAAACAGAAATCGTGAAACTAGAATTTGTCACGGGGTGGACAGGATCTTTTGATCATTTGATGAACAATGAATATAATGGTCACAATGAAGATGAATCAAATCTTCCTCAATCTTCTCACTCTCATCTCTATCTTCCTTTTTGGATTTTCCATAATCATAACACCCAAAAATAAGAACGGTAAAAAAGAGAAAGATGTATGTAACTGTGACACTCCAATTCCTTCCTTAATAAAAAAACGCGGCTTTACATTTTCCGTAATTAACGCGTCAATCAACAATCCCTTTCAACAAAATAATACTCTCTCCATTCTTAAATTTCAATTTTTTAATCTTTTTATATGCAAAATAATAAATATTTAGTTTATATACATATTCAGACTAAAATATATTTATTTATTGCTTCATAAAATATATATTATTTTTTATTATTATACATATGACATCAAGGTGGTAAAATATTATGAACACATTTTTTTAATATTATATTATTGTTAAAAATTAATTAAAAATAAAATATAAGTGAAAATCATTAAATATGAAGCATTCACAAAATTTAATAATTTTTTAATAAATGATAAAGAAAATATTAAAAAATGAATCAGAGATTGTATAGCTAAGATTTTTTAGTCAAATTATTTGATTTTTTCATGAAATAATTTTTTTTTTTCAACACAAATGCTACAAATAAATATTATTAATACTTCACTATAAATGAAGATAAATGCTGCATGTGAATCAAAACTATTAATTTATCTCCTTGATAATTCTACTATATGCGTGAATATAATTAGAAAATTATATAAGTATTTCTCAAAATTCTAAAAATAATTAAATTTTTTACAAAAAAATAAAATAAAAAAGCCAAGTTTAGAGTTTCTTCTCGTTCCTGTTGTGGATCCCCACAAATATCACACTTTCCTATTTCTTGACCGTCACAATTACGATTTACGGCACAGATTTCATCAACGGTAGTGGTCCCTCTTATCTCAAATTGTGGTTCCACGTGTACGGTTTCGATTCAATCAAAAGTGCGTTTCTATGGACTCGACTCATCATTACCCCCACGCGAGCGTCACAAAGAATGAGAGCGATCTCCACCCTCTGATCTTTCCACAACATGACACTCCTCTTCCTATAAATTCTCACTGTCTCTTCCTTCATTTTTCACACACTCGTAAAATCATAATCACACGCTGCGTTTCAACCACTTTCACCGTCGTTTCAACCTCCGAGAATGGCTAGCTCTTACATGCTCGTTCTGATACTCGTGGCGATGTTTGTCTTCTCCGCCGTCGCAGATTCTCCGGCGGCGTCACCTCAGGCTGCTGCTGCTCCTGCTCCTGCTCCGTCGAAGTCTCCACCGGCCGTCACTCCGTCGCCAGCCTCCGCTGTGAGCTCTCCGCCGTCTCCTTCTCCAGTCTCGCCGTCGCCTTCCGTCTCTCCGTCGTCTATCTCTGAAACTCCGTCGGAGGCTCCCGCACCGACCAAGAGTGCCGCCGTCTCGAATGGATTCGCCGCCGCCGGATCCGTCGTAGTTGGACTTGTCGCCGCCGTGTTGATCGCGTGAAGTAGTCGCACCGGCTGATACATAGAAAATTTATTATCTCATTATTTATGAGTTTGTTATAGTTATTTTTTTTTTCTTCATAGAGTTAGTATAAGACGCTTCAGTTGTTATTTTTACATTGAATTCGTAATCGTACTCGTAAATTACTACTATCTTCTGTTTGTGAAATGAAAGTCATGTCTTGTATTAATAAGATTTCGTCATTTCTTGTTATTTTCAGAAGACTTGTGATTATGATTGTGAATCCTTTTTGTTCTATGATCGAAGATTTTAACGAACAAAGTTAGAGAATGAAAAACTGAATGTTGAAAGAGACGAGATAGTTTCACTCTATTATGGAAGATTAAATAAAAAGTGCAAAATGTAGTGGTAGCAACAATGTGGTCATTGCTTTCAATTTGTTTTGTAATAAAATATTTATTTATTTTTTACCATACGAAAGAACGCGAGACGAGGATCGAATTGAATATTTCCATTTAGTACGTTAAAATATAAGTAAAATTTTATAATTAAATCTATTTTTAATTATTAATTTATTTTTAATCTATTAAATTAAAAAAGTTTTTCATTTTCATTAATTTTAAAAAATATTTTTTTTATATTTAAATTTTATAAAAAAATTATCAAATAACGTCATATAAAAATTATCTACTAATATTTCTTTCAATAAAAATAATATATTTAATCAAGTTGATGCTGTATAATTGTCTTAATATATTACTTGATATATGTTATTAATAATATAAATAACTAAAATAAGATTTTTAAAAATTAAAAAAACTAAAAATAATAATTTTAAATGTAAAAGATCAAAAATAAATTTACCTAAAAGTCAAAATTTTATTATTAATTTTGAGAATTATTGAAATATTACGTGGTTTATTTGTTGGATTAATAAAAATTTCATTTCATATAAAGTTATTGAATTTGTTGCTTCGGTGTTAGTATTTAAGATTTAAATTAATACTCCTTTTATTTTTTATTATAAAATATAATTTAAAAATAATTGGCATTTTTTTATGAATAGGAAAAAGATAATTGATATTTTTTTAAGAAACTTTACAATTTCTTTAAAACATTAATTTTCATTCTTATTTTACGTTCTTATCAGAAAAATTGTAATAATATGAGTTTGTTTCTCTTACTTTATAATCTATTTGATTGTCTTTTATCATTTTTATTAATATTAATATTAATAATTTATTCATCTGTTTCATAAAAACTTAATCACAGATTCACAAGTGAGGATGGTAAAATTGATAAATCATAATTTTGTTTTATAAATCTAATAAAATTAATAACATAACTAGTTATATTAATATGTGTAATTCAATTAAAATTACTTTATAATACAAATTAAATGAAGAAAAATTTACGCGTTGATTAATCTTGTTTCATTTTAACTTTGTGTCGAACATATATCTTAAATAAAAATAAAATGATGAAAAATAAAATTAAATGTCTCATTAAAAAATTCTTTTTTTTAAGTAAACTATTTTATTTTATTTTATTAATAGTGACTAAGTTTTGGTTATTTGATATGGTCAACATAAAATTTTACTCAATAAATTCAACAAGTTAATTCAAGTATACAACAACATTTCGAACAACAACTTAATAAGTTTCTCTTGCCTTTAAATCAACCAAAAAGAGGAAGGAGGAGAAGAGTAAGACTCTTCAAGAACTATACACAAAATCACTCCACAATTCATGATAAGGGAAAAGTCTTAAACACTCAAGGAAGTCGGTAGAAGAGGAAAGAAAACTTACATATTTCAGAGTGTCTCGCTCTTAACTATCTCTAAGTTCTTAAGAAATGAATTTAAGAAATTTGCTTCTTAAAAAAATCTTATACACCTTCTAACTGATCAATTTTAATCTCTACATACTTAGAATAACTTCTGAATAACAAAATTCATTATAATTCATGAATTCTTAGAGTTTTACAACTAGAAGTAACTAAACACAATATTTAAATTAACAAAACCAACAATTATTAACAATTTTGCACAATATTACATATGAAGAATATTTTAATCTCGTATTAAAATAATTTTTTTATTTTTATATAAAATGAAGTATAATTAGAAATAAAAACTTAACTATAACAATTTATTTTTCTATCATAATATAATGATTCAAACTAAAAAAATCCGACCTTAATTGGATCAACTTAAAATATATCATCACAAAAAAAATCAAACAATTTTTTAAAATTTATTTGATTTAGAGTTAATTTTATTTAAAATGAGTTTAAATAACCATCACCATGAATAATAGAAATAAGGTGATACGATTGATTTTGTCAACAACCATAACTGAAAGATAATAATATTTATTTAAATGAATCATGAGATGACGCATGATATATTATAGTATTGTTTAATTCAATTTAAAAACAATTAATAAGTTAAACATAATTTATAAAATATTATCGAAAATATAATAAATGTTTTAATAAAAAATTCAAACAAAAACTTATATTCTATATTTAAAATAAATTAAAAAATCAAGTCTTACACTACCTAATATTTTTATTTATTTATTTATGATTAGTTTTTGTTAAAAAATTAACTGATAATTTTTAGTAAGATATCTTCTCTCAACCAATTATAATTTTAACTGAAACTTTGTTTAAAAAAATTGAATTTAGTTTAACTTGCAAAGCATTTAACTGGGACAATTTTCATCAACAAAAATAAATTTATATTATAAATTGAAGTTTTCATTTTTGCGTGAGGTTTTTTATTATTAAACAGTGTGTGTGTGTGTTTTTATCCTGCAACAAGTAATTTGATCATTATTTAAATAGTGAAAGTTTTCCTTTTGGTTGAAATGAAAATTTTGTTATACTCTATGGCTAATGACAGAGCAGACATGATTGGATTGGAGGAGTGGAAGTCTTTTGGTAGAACCCAAACAACTAACGAATGAAACATCCTGATTCCTGTGGGACACTTCCTTTTCCTTTTCTCCTTTTCGTTTGTTGGACACTTGGACTGACCAACGCAACTGCTTAGTAGCTAATTAACCTTCCTTTTGCCCCTTCATTCATGCAAAACATTCTTTTTTTTATCAAATTAAATGTATTTTTAAGATTTTATAAAATAAATAAGTTTTTATTTTAATTTTTATAAGTTTTTTTTAATATTTCTAAAATTTATAAACATTGGTTTTAGTCAATTGTGAAATAAATAAATTTTAATTTTGATCATTGTAATTTTTTTATTTGCATCCTTATTAAAGTTAAAATTTCTATATTTTTTTACCCTTAACTATCATTTAAAAATAAATAAATAATATTTATTTTAAAATTTTATATAAATATTCAAAAGTGTCAAATACTGATATAATATTATTAACAGTTATAGGTATACTACCTAAAATGATCACTTGATCTTTTAGTAAACAAAAAATAATTAAAAATGATTGGATACAAAGATAGAAATTCTAACAAAAATTTCAATTTTAGAGGGATTAAAAGTAAATAAATTTTTTTTATAAAAACTAAAATTAAAACTGACTAACTTTGTGAAAATTAAAAAAATATTTACACCTTTTGATTATTATTAGTCTTAATTTAGGTATGAATTTAAATTTTTCGTTAAATAGATAAAGTTAAATTCTTTGTGTTATCTTTTACCGAAAGATACTTTATACTTTAAAATAATTAAATTTTGAATGAAGTTGATATCGATAAGTCACAAACATTTAGCGTTAAGTTATTTTCACTATCACGAAACAAAACTGAACTTTGAGTTAATTATACATGCTTACTCTTTTTTTTTTTTAATATATATGACAACATAATATTTTAAAGTTGATAACTAAAGAATAATCTTCATTGATATAACTTCTAGTAATATTATTTTTTTAAATTATAAAATAAAATTAATAATTTTAATTTGACAATGTAAACGTTTTATTTAAAATCTAATATATTATCATCAATATTTATATATTAAACATAAATTATCCTGTCTGAAATCATTTTTAAGAGTTTTTTTTTACAAGAAAATTTTTAGTGACTTTTTTAACTTTTCATCTAATTTAATTTTTATTTATTATAATAATTTATTAGTTAAATTTTAATATTTTAAATATAATTTATCAATAAAAAATAATCTAATATAAATTATTTATCATCAACTTAAAACATAATTTATATGTTTAAAATATATATTTATAAAAAATTTAAATATAATTTATATATTCAAACATAATATTTATTTATACATATAATTTATTATAAATTTTAATTATATATAACAAACAAAAATATATATATAAAGAATTAAGTTTTAGTTATATATAATAAACAAAAATACTAGTTAGTATATAAAGAATTAATGTGTTTATTTAAAAAAATATATATCAAATTTAAAATCAATTATAACACACTTAAAATTTATAGTGTCTATCTTCACTTTATATCTATTTTAATTTATTATTTTCATTATTTCTAAATTAAATTTCACTATTTTTTTTATAGATTATCAATATAATTTATATTAAAAATATTTAATTATGATAAATTTTAGTTAATAAGATAAAAATATATTTAAAATATTGCATAAATATTAGCATTTTATTGACTTCCCGTGAAGGAATACATTGTATTGAATTAAAAATATTTTTAAAAGTCTAATAAAATGAGTTGGCTTAATTTTGGTCCTTATAAAATTTAGAAATTTCACATATAAAAATGATACATGAAAATAAATCTTTTCATGAGGAATTTTTATTTAAATTTTCTCCGCTAGAAATCTCCACCAACAAAATCTTATACTTTTTTTTCTTTTCTTAAATCTTCTTTCATTTATTTATAGTTAAGAGTTTAAATTTCACGACAAAAATATCACATGAGGATCCAAATTCTAGTACGACAAGTATGAGTGAATATCATTTGGGGTGGTCATTATCTTTCATTAAACACGTAATCAATTAACAAATATCATATAATAATAGAATAATTTTAATTTTTTAGGATGAAAATAAAGAAATAGTTTTACAATAGTCAAAATCAAAACTTCTCTATTTTACCTAGACTAAGAGTGAGAGTTACACTCAAGTATGAAATTTTATTTAATATCACTAAAAAATATATTTTTATATAAAAATATAAAAAATTACAAAAATAATTTCATGTATGAAATTCTATTTTATATCATTGAAATATTTTTTTTTGACAAAAATACAAAAAATTATAAAGATGCAAT